TGGGCCTCGGAGAGGGTCCCGAAAACGCGTGGCTAAGACAACATTTACTCCTAGTTAGTTTGTTTTTTTATTCTGTGATTTTGTGGACATTTTCTTTTTTTCTTTTATTTTTTGTACTGGATTTTCAGATATTTATTGTTGGTTTTGAGTACATATTTTGTGGTTCATTTTTTTTGTCGGTAATTGTGGTTGTCTTTTTGTATATAGTGTTTCACGTATGTATGCATGTTAGATTTTATCATTTGATGAATGAATTGATATTAAAGTGATATTATTTCGTGTTCAAAATGTTCAATCAAAATTTATTAAAAACCTTCATTCCAGAGTCGAGCCTAACTTAAAAAAAATTTAAAAAAGAATACATAAAAACGGATTCTTGAAATCCGTTTTTATAAAAAAAATAAAAAATTTAAATATATAAACATGGATTATGAAAATCCGTGTTCCAGCGTAAAACGAATTTTCACCGTCCGTCTTTGTTAACACGAATTTTCATAATCCGTATTTAGCTGAATTAATTAAGCCTAATGACGTCATCAAGCAAAAACGGATTCTGAGAATCCGTTTTTGTGTCGGAATTTACTGAAAACGGATTCTGAGAATCCGTGTTTCGATGAAAAACGAATTGTCAGAATTCGCCCGTTTTATTTTTTTCCACAACTTTTTTTTTTATTTTTTTATTTTTTGCCACATATTTTTTAATTTTTTCAAATAAATAAATGATTCGGTAACCAAACGCACGGGTAAGGGGGGGCTGCTGTGGCTAACTAACAGTAGCCCCTACAATTAATTTTCAACCATTGATCATAAAAAAAGTAAAATACAATCCAAGGGCTAGGAATGAATAAAGAATAAAATAATAAAACTTAACTTTCTTAACCTAATTGCTAATCTGGGAGAACAAGCAGCGGGAAAAAATATTTCACAGAAATGGAAGAGACACTTATTGATGAAGATTCATCACCAAAAAATTGTGAAACAACATCATCAATATGGTTGGATCTTCTCACAACAGATGAACTTTTTCAAGATATTGGCAAAAAGATGGAACCTAGAAAAAAAATAACTATTGGGTAAGTTTTTTTTTTAAATATATATATTTCTGGTTGTTCTTTTTTCTCCTCCTCCATATTTTTCTTAGTTGGTTTGGATATGTTATTGTTACTGGAATGAAGATAAAATTTTAAGTGTTTATTGAAATGTCTATTGAAATGTTGGGCAACAATGAGTATGATTTGTTGTGTTCTGTACTACATTCTGCTATGTGTGTTCTTATTAACTGATGTTGCCTAATGGATGCCAATCTGTGTATCACTTGCATGTTCATCTGCTCGGGACGCCAAATGAACTGGCCGCCTAGCTAAATTCTGGAGCCAAGATAGATATATTGCCCACTTTCGATCTTTTGAATCAGTTCGTGCACTTTTTCAGAAGCTTAATTCATGTAAACTCGAATAAGCAATTAGCAGGCATAATAACCTTGGTTTTTTTAACTTCTTGATTGTTATATTTTCTGATTGTGTTATTGGGAATCTTGACTTGCTTTATTAAGTTGGTGAGTTTACTTAAAANGGTTGAAGATGTGATATACGGTAACTTATTAAATAGCGGTCGAAACAACGAACCAAGAACTGGAATGACATTTGACACTCTTGATGAAGCATGGAATTTGTGGCAGAATTATGGGAAGTCAATGGGATTTGGGGTTAGAATACATTATCGCAACAAAAGCCAAAAGGATGGAGCATATAATAATGCGGTTTTCGTTTGCCGTAAAGAGGGTAAAAGAGCTGAAGACAAAAGAAGGGTAGGAGTTGTGCATCGATGGGAAGAAAGAACATCATGCAAGGCTAAATTAAATGTAGTTTTGGAGAGGTCGAGTGGTAAATACAAGATCAAAGAATTTGTTCGAGAACATAATCATGAACTTGAGCCTCCAGAGACGAGCCACATGTTAAGATCCCATAGGCAATTGAGCCAGGCTGCCGCTGCCGCGATTGATTTGGCACATGATGCAGGACTCACCCCAAAAGCAACACACAACTTGAGGATTAGAGAAGCAGGGGGTCAGGATAAGCTCGGATACATAATGGAAGATCAAAAGACGTATTTGCGGTCGAAAAGAGAAAAACACATGGTGTACGGAGAGTTGGGAGGTATAATAAGATACTTTGAGCAGAGAAAAGGTAAAGACCCTTCATTTTATTACTCAATGCAATTTGACAGTGACGAACTAGTCACTAATATATTTTGGGCTGATTCTAGAATGATTGTTGATTATGGTGATTTTGGTGATGTAATTACATTTGACACAACCTATGGAACAAACAAAGAATTGAGGCCCTTGGGTGTATTTACGGGATTTAATCATCATAGGCAGATGGTCATTTTTGGGAGTGCACTTTTATACGATGAGACTGCTGATTCATTTGCTTGGCTTTTTCAAACTTTTTTAAATGCTCATGGAGGTAAAGAGCCTCAAACCATTTTTACGGATCAAGATGCGGCTATGGCGAATGCTTTGGCAAAAGTATTTAAAAATACACGACATGGGCTATGCACGTGGCATTTGAATCAAAATGGGATCAAACATTTGGGTTGGCGTATGAAAGATGATTCTTCTTTTTTAACGGAGTTCAAGAGGTGCATGTTTGAATATCTGGAAGAGGATGATTTTGAAAGGGAGTGGAAAAATTTACTTGATCGATATGATTTGCACAATAATGAATGGTTATCCCGTACGTACGACTTAAAGGAAAAATGGGCCAAATGTTATATGAAGTATGCATTTACCTTGGGAATAAGAAGCACACAATTGAGTGAAAGCTTGAATAGTGACTTGAAGTCCTACTTGAAATGTGATTTGAATATTTCCGATTTTTTTAAACAGTTTGATAGGGTTGTCGATGAAAAAAGAGAACGAGAGCTTAAAGCCGACTTTGATGCGAGACAAAAGTTGCCTCCATTGGAATCTTATGATTCTTTGTTGTTGATGCAAGTTTCACAGTTGTACACTCCCGAAATATTTACACTTTTCCATATCGAACTTCGTGCTGCTTTAAGAGTGAAAATAGAAAGAAAAGATGACACCCGAAGTCCACATGAATACGTGGTTTGCCTTCATGGTTCAAGAGAGAAAGAGATGAAGGTACTCTTTGATCCTACACAAGATTGGGTTGTTTGTAGTTGTAGAAAGTTTGAAATTATGGGAATATTGTGTTGTCATATCTTGAAAGTATTTATTGTTCAAGACGTAATGTGCATTCCACAAAAGTACATATTGGCCCGGTGGACAAAAGGAGTGAAAAGTGCCCAAAACTTGTATAAAGAAAATTCTAATGGTGTGGAGAATGTTATGGAATGGGTTCAAAGGCTTCAATCTCAACTCTTACGGATGACGCTTCAAGCTTCCACCCATGAAGTAACACGTAATTGCATGGAGAAAATGGTGAGTGAATGTAATAAGCAAATTTTTGCTTTTACAACGAAAAACGAGAGAGCAAATGAAGAAGTTCCTACATTCAACATAGAGGACAAACTTGAAAATATGAAAGGTTTGAAGAAAAGAGACGGGAGAAGAAGAACAAAACGGCCAAAGGGTTGGGTCGAAAAGTTTTCTAGGAACTCAAAAAAATCAAATTCATCAAACGAGGTAATCATTATTTTAGTTTGTGTTTGATAGATAGCATTAATAAAATATTTCTTTTTGTATATATATTTTTACTTTTTTCTTTTGTCATGAAGCCTTGTCCGTCGATTACCGGTTCACAAGAAAACATGAATTCTAGAGTTGAGATGCACCATCTACAAGAATATGTGAAAGATGGTGTCGCTCTCGCTTCATCGAACTCGGTGGTATCCCAAATCTATAACGGTACATCTTTATAAAAAAATAAAAGTTACAATTATTCAATAACAAATTTTATTATTCATTTGTCATGTATTTATTAAATTTCAGGCATTCCAAGAAACTAAGATTGGGGCTATCGAGGCTACTTCAAGAGAAATGCAAGACAATTATAAATTATTTTTCAGAATTGTAATGTATTATTTTTGTGCTTGTCAATGGTCATCCTCTTGACAGACCAGTCGTCATTATTTTAGCTAATAATTTTCTTGGAAAAATTGGTGAATATTTCTGTGATGTGTTGGATTTAAGTTAGTACCGTACACTAAGTTTAAGTTATTTATGTTTTCTCTTAGTTTTGTTGTGGTCTATATGATGTATTATTATCACCTTGTCAGCATTAGTATACATCATGGTCACAATTGGGATGATATGCTTGGTATGGTAAACAAGTACATTCAGATTCTTGAAAAGTAATTAAGGTCATTTTCTTCATCAAATTTTTATGTAATTTATTGATTTTTTACTTTGCCCCATATTTATCTAGAACTTGAAGTGAAGCATATCTCAAACTGTTGATTTTAGTTGTTTACAATCTAATTTACATCTAGTTGGCAAATTTACATTTTCATTTTTCTTCTCCCCAATATTTTATTAAATTATCTTACATTCATGATTTTGAGTATAATAATAATTATATGCTGTAATGGACCTTATACCTATTATCTAATTACGAACAGATGAAGATAGATTCAGGGGAAAAGTTTAAACTGAGACATGCGTTTGTGAGTTTCTCCCAGCACATGCATTCTGTTTGAACATTTACATTTTTGTTATTCGTTATATATAATGTATTTGTATAAAATAACGTATGTGATGTATTAAGTCCCAGCACAAGTTTCTCTTGTATGTGATGTATTAAGTACTCTGTATTAATTAGCAGTTCACGTGATTGATGATTTTGATGGCATTTTATTATTTTATTCCTTATTCATTCCTAGCCCTTGGATTGTATTTTACTTTTTTTATGATCAATGGTTGAAAATTAATTGTAGGGGCTGCTGTTAGTTAGCCACAGCAGCCCCCCTTACCCCAAACGCACCATGAGAAAAACAAAAAGGTGAGAAAAAACACAAACAAAAGAAGAAAAAGAATGTCAGCGCTTTCTGTTATTCCCATAACTGTAGCTACTTTTAGTTTATCCCAATCAAGAAAGCCTCACAAACCCAGTAAAAATTTCGCCAAAAGATTAGATTCACGGGTAGAATTTCAGATACCCAGTAAAAATTTCGCCAAAAGATTAGATTTTCGTGTGGATTTTCTGAAACCCAGTAAAATTTTTGCCAAAAGATTAGATTCTCGAGTTGATTTTAACTGCAGAGACTCTGTATCTTGGGCTCGTAGGACTAAAACACAGAATATTATGATATATGGTGTTAATGGGGTTCGGGCTAGTACGAACGATGAGAGTATTGAGGTTTTTGAGCAGGACGCTTTTGTGGATGGGTCTTCGAAACTCGGAGCCGGTCGACTCGAAGCTACTCTCAATAGCTTGGTTCGTGAAATTTTATAAATTTTACTTTTTTATTAATTAAGTGTTCATCTTCTTTGTGGGCTGTGTTTATCCTCGTCGACTGCTCTTTATTATTTTTATCCTCGTTGAATGCTCTTCATTATTTGTAGTAGATCAGGGCAGACTGCAAAATAGAACATGTGGTGATGGTTTAAAATTATATGAAATAAGTACAGAGTCAAGTTGCACTATGTTTGATATGAAAATTGTAAGAAGCGATTTATTTGCTATTGGAAAATGTGGGAATCATTAAAAGAACAGAAGGGAAAGGAAAAATCAGTGTGCAATGACGAAAAATCAAGAACTTGTTCTGGCAAAAGGTATGAGCTACTTTGGCACCAATTGAGCTTTTTCTACTGTAGACAGATGAAAGGTGCTCTGTCATAACCTTAGCAATGGACTGTGCTTAGTAATGATAACATTTGCAGAATTTAGTTTCGTAGCTGAGTTTTTGTCTTGTTTTAATATGAAGAGATGCAAGCACTTGAGGTTTATTTATTGACATGGTCGAAATCTTGTGCTTACTTAGATGTCAATTACTTCAATACATTTGGTCAGTGAAAAGGAAACTTTTGCCTTCAGTGGATGAACAAAATGCATTCGGCTTCTGCAATTTTTGGTTAGATGTAAAGAAATGACATCTACTAAAGTCTAGAAGTTGAAGCTTACATGGTTGTCGTACTCTTAAGAATTACAAAAATATGAGATGATTTGTCAATAATTCGAAAGTATTTTGGTCAGGAATTAAGGACCAAGTAATTCAAGAATGTCGTACTTGTCAAAAGTTTCAAAGATATTTAATACAAAATAATACCACAATAACTTTAATTGACAAGCTGCTATATGTGTGACTTGGTTCTCTTCTTTAGGAACCGAATTCTGAATCATTTTTTCTAAAGCGTCTTCATGCACTTTCAATCTATAGACTCTCTAAAACACTCATATGAAATCGTATGTAGCTGCTGATTCTGATTTACATTTGTCTTGTTTAAAAGCGTTGAACACCTTATGTGATTTATTGCTGATGGATAAGCGTAAATACTCTGTGAGCTCACTTAAAATGCACCGATGTCTAATGTGAAAGTTTGTTTAAATATGTGAATGATGTTGATCCTGCTGACTTGTGTTTCTTTGCTTTATTGAATTAAAAGGGAGAGGTATCACTTGTGGAAATTCAATTCCAAATGTCATTTTTCCTGAATGATCAATTTTTTAGTTGAAAACAGTACTTCTATACCCTGAAGGCTACACACTTTAGGCACTCACAGAATCTTGAGCTTTGAAATACCTTTAGGCTACGTTTGTTTTGAGGGATTTGAAATCCCTTGATTTCAAAATTTTTGAAATATAAAGTTTTTACTTGCACACTCCTTAAATGGATTTGTTGAAATGATTATAAATCCATTGTCTAGTTCGCACCGATGGTGTTGACTCGTGGTGGTGATGAACCTAAATGATGGCAAACGGTGTGGTCGTCAACGGTGATAAACAGTGGATTTCAAATTACTAGGTTTGAAGAGTCATTTAAATTCCTTCAAAATAATGACTAAAAACTATCTAGCATGTATTTAAAATCCCTCAATTTCTATTACCATCCCAACATGCATGAGGATTTGAACTTGTAAATTTGAAATCTATAGATTTCAAATCAATCAGTAAATCCTTCAATCCAAACGTGGCCTTAGAAAATATTAATATCATTGAAAATTGATTGGATCAATTTTTCAATTATTTGCTTCTTGGCCTGGAATACTTTTGTATTAGATGCATTTGTATCCTCATTATGGGTTAGAATTGTAGTTATTTTGGGTGCAGTTGGGTCCTGTATTGGTTTTCTGTTGCACGTTATTCGTACTTAGATGGTAGAGGAACGGTAATCCCATCTAATAGTAATAATGTGGCCGTGAGCGGACCTTAATTACGAGAAGAAAAATATTGTTTTTGATAGTTTACACTTCTTTCTGTAAATGTAAGATTTGTATAAATCAATTGTTTTATATTTGCATCTTGTTAGTGTCATCAGAGAAAAATATTGTTTTGATAGTCTGAGCATCATCATCTATTTAGGAAAAGAATGCTGTTGTTGTTCATTTGAGCTTGGTAGCCTAATGATCGTCCAAAACAGAGGAGAAAAAAAATGACTGCTTGAAAAACAAAGGAAAATTAATAAAGACAGACATGATCCATAAGAAACAAAAGATCTCAAAAAAATCATAGAAATTTGTTTAACATGGATTCGGGTACGAGTGGATTGTCGCCATATCAATCTCATGAAACAAGTTGTTTTCTATAAAATCAGTCACCGTGTTGAAACTGGGATCTATCCTGGTCTTTGGAGGTGAAGATTTGACCATAGAAACCTTCTAATCCAATTTCTAGCAAATGCTTTTGATCAATGTACTTCAAATTTGAGTTGCATCTTGGCTCATTCATTAGTTTCCATGCCATAATTGCCAGGTCATTCTTGTAAGCAACTCCAGTTATCTTGTTGTGTCTGTTAAGAACAGCCTGCAATAAACACAACACGCACCACACAATCAGTAAAAAGAAAACATATAATCCGAACCACGATACATTAAAAACCGATTTGCATTGCTCAAAACATAGGAAAGCAGAACAAGTTGCAGTATTAAATATATATCGAAGCATATACTATAGAAAATGAATGGAAGAAAAAGAGAAGTAGGAACTTACCTTTATATGATTCTTGAAATAAATTCTGACTAGGAAGTTTGTAAAGTCTTCATAGATATTAACCCAAGTTTAATATCAGCTTAATCTCATATCCCCTAGCTTCAGAAACAACAAAACCAAGCCCCTTTCACTACCATATATAGCTCAAGATACCACACTGCTTATTTTGAGATGCCACAACATCCAGCTGCCAATTTATTCACGATCTTTGACATTTACCCGCGAGTTAGTGTTCCTAACATCTTGTCAAGAGTTTTCAACGTATGTATAACGCTAGTAAATTTTTTTTCCAAAGTCTAGCCTGACTACATAAAAATCAAAACTGATTCTCGAAATTGTATGGTAAGTGACCATATGCCAACTTAGTATATAAGACAACATGCACCTTCTCTGGTGGGCTATTGGCAAAGTTGCTTGGCCATATCACCTCCCAATTCCACAATAGAGCAATTTATCATACTATGTCCCCTCTCCACAAAAAAATGACAGGAACTTCAATTTTTCTCGAGAAAACATATGAGAACTCTTTTCCACACCACAGAATTTAGTCGAGGACTGTACCCGCCCCATCTGTACTGAACCACAAATTCTCAGCTCCCACATATACCTTTNAATACACATTTCACTTCTTCAAACCTCCCCCAATATCATCATCCCCCCTACCCTCCGAAAACACACACACTCGAATCAACCTCCTCGAAACTCAACTCCTCACTCGAACAATACACCAAGCCCAACACTCCATAAACCTTCTCGCACCTAGGATGATTCCTATCCCCCGCAATAAAAGCCGACACTCTCTCCTCCTCCTCCTTCACCACACCCCTCCACCTCATCAACCTCCTCACCCCAGCCGCCTCTTTCCACCTACCACCAGACGCGTACATATTTGCCAGCGTGATGTGGGCCCCACCGCACTCTGAGTCGAGCCTAATCACCTCCTCAGCCGCGACCCGCCCGCGCTCCACGTCACCACACTCCCGACTAGCCCTAAGCACGCTAACCACCCCGCCCGACAAAACAGGTCGATCATGCACCCGTAGTGCTCTTTACAGGGGTAAATTCGGTATTTTTTAATCATGGAGTCGAAATAGCGGGACCCCAGATCGAGGAGCCCCGCGTGGTTGCACGCGCCGAGGACACCGATGAAAGTCACCGAGTCGGGCCGTAGGCCTGCGTTCGGGATTCTCTCGAATAGTTCTATGGCTTTGCGGTTAATCCGTGCTCCGCGTATCCGTTGATCATGGTCGTCCACGAGACTATATCGTCGTTTAGGGTATGTGAAAATACTTTCGCAGCTTCTAAAATGCAACCGCATTTCGAATACATGTTTGTGAGGGAGCTCGGGAACATGGCCGTTTGGTTGAGGCCAACAGATAAAACGTACGCGTGCAGCTGCAGGCCCCACTTGAGCTTTGCGATATTCGCGACCCCCGAAATAACTGCCGCGTAAGTGTACTCGTTGGGGCTTATCCCGCATGCTCTCATGCGCGAAAAGGAATTAATCCCCTGTTTCTCTTGGCCTGTCTGGATGTACGTGGTTATCATGGACGTCCAAGAGACCACGTCCGGTTTAGCCATGCTCTCGAATAGAAACGACCCGTATTCTACTTTCCCGCACTTGTTGTACATTGTGGAAAGGCTGTTGGCCACGTACGTGGTCGTTTCTACACCTCTTTTTAATATGCGGGCGTGAATTTCCTTCCCGTTAAGCAACGCCTCGAGATCGGCACACGCTCTGAGTGCAATAGAAAACGTGTAGGAATCATAGTCGACCCCATCTCTCCACATCTGGGAAAAATATAAAAGCCCCCGGGAGTGGAGACCTGCCCGGACGACGCCTATGATGACAGCTGTCCAGGATACCACATTTGTTGACGGCATTTCATCATAGACTGCACAGCCCTCGAGAACTCTTCCGTTCTTCATGTACATGTCGAGAACCGAACTCCCGACAAAAACCGAGCGGATGAAGCTGGATTTCACGGAGTACCCGTGCAGCCCTTGACCGTAACGCAAATTTACATTCAGGCCGCACGCTTTCAAAGAAAGGCTGAGTATGAATGGGTTCATTACGAGACCCAAATTTTCGAGAACAAAGAAATTGCTTCGGATGTGTCCGAGGAGCTTATGTAGCCGGCAATCATGGTGGTCCAGGTGATTTCGTCCCTTTGGGGAAATGTGTCGAACATGTTGCGGGCGGTTTTCAGGTCGCCGGATTTTGTTAGGTGCTTGAGCTGTGAGTTGAGCTCCAACATGTTGATTAGTGAGGAGTCATGGAGGTTAGGAGTCGGGGGGTCGTTCAGGCGGTCGTCGGATATCAGGGTGCCCGAGAAGTCGGCGTAGGCTAAGTATGAATTTGAGTATAATCTTATGGTAATTGACTGCCTCAATGATAACGCTATGTTTGACGATGTTAGTAAATCAGCTTTGACAAGCTGAATTTCTGTGTAAGAATAAGATACGATGGGCCTGCTGCAAATAACCTAGTAAATTTGTTATCAGTATTTCTATCTATCTATGATACACCCTTGCGTTTGCTTTGCTCCTAGCAAGGAAAGATCTTCTTTGCATATAGAAAATGATTACTTGAGAGAAGTCTTATGGGTGTATTTTCGATATTTTAAATTACGTAATTCTTCTAAAATATATTTATTATGTAATTAGAAGATTAGGACTCCATAATACATACTAAAAAAATTTATTTATTATGTAATTAAGAGATTAGGACTCCATAATACATACTAAAATAAATATATATCATATATTATTAATAATAAATACTAGGACCTTAAATAATGGGTCACACTCCCATGAGAATGGTGTTCAATGAAAGAAATAAGAATAAATCCTAGCCATTAAATTTGATCATCTAACAGTTAAAAAAAATCAGCCTTTCTAAATTCATAAAGGGTATTATAGACATTACTCACACACCATTACACCAACTATCTACTAATGGGCCTCACTCCCCAATTAATTGGTTCAATCACGCCGTCTCTCTCTCACCAATTAATAAAAGTTCTCTCTCTCTCTCTCCCCTATCGTACAATTATCTCTCTCTCTCTCTCTCTCTCTCTCATAGACACACAGAAACACACACAACCCCACACACACACCCAGCCACCACAACCAGTTCCACCGCAGCCGCCGACTTCCTCCGCCACTGTCGCCCACCGGCCAGTCGTCGCCGTTTTACGCCGAACTTCTCCAGATGTATGGCCTCGTCGTCGACCGCCGGCGAGCAAGCGACGGCTTTCTGCATCTCCGGCAGTCACGAGCCGTTGCCGAGGTACGTCTCCCCTGTCCGCTGGATCTACGCGACACGAAAATGGCGAGCAGCAGAGATGCCGACGTCGCAGAGATGTCGGACGCCGCAGAGACGCCGTCATCTTCCTGTCCTTCACGCCTTCCAGCGTCGTCCACCGTAGCTCCAACTTGCCGGCTTCGTCTGCTATCGATTTCAGATGATCGAGAATTCTCCCGACCAGTTGACGCCGCGCTCTTCTCTGCTCTCCGACCGGCTGCTCAACTCCGACGCCGATAAGGTCGTCTTCTCCGGCGACACTCTGCAGTGGTACGTTGTCTCGGACGGTCGGCTCACGGCGGCGGCGGGACTCGCCGGAATACTGATACTTGGGTTTGGCAAATTTTTGAAAATTTGATACTTTATAGGGGTTTGATTACATTTACAAGATGTATATTATATTTCAATTTAGACCATGGGTTAAATTTGTAATTTATGAAAAGTATATAAAAAATATTATTTTTTTAATTTATTTTCTACAGATATGTATATTGTATTTTTGTACACTTTTATAATAATAAATAAGAAATTATTTCAATTATTTATTAAGTCAATGTACAATTTAATCTAATAATTATAGTTTTAAAATACATAATTTTTATGTTATTATATAAAGTAGTAATGCATTTTATATACCAGCACGATGCACTTTATAAAACGAAATGTTGTACTGTATAAAACAAACTGTTGCACTTTATCACAATATTCTACAATTAACGTCAATAGCTCCGCCAAAATACCACGCAACATAAAAAAAATATATGTATATATATCTACATCTACATAATACTTTAACATCTATCACATCATCTGTCCACAAAGAACACAAGCATCCTAATGTAATAAAATTAGAGTAGTTCACTTTATATATTAACACAACGCACTTTATAGAACATCACGTTGCACTTTATAATACAAAGCATTGCGCTTTATCACAATCAGATATTCAGATTGCACAATAGAGCGCAAAACCAACCGAACTCAATTTTTTTTTTCAATTAGAATCAATATAAAAAATAATAGGTTAATTTATTAACATATTAAATATACTCTTAATATATAATCGGTTAACCGAACCGAATAAACCAATTGATTATGTGTAGTTTCAATTCGATTTGGGACAAAAACTCGGTTGGTTCAATATGAACAATACAGACCGACATTGTGCATGCACCATAGTGTTGGACGAATTGCACCTTAATAACTGTTAGATTGCACATTATAATTCGTTTATCATCCAACCTCTAATAGATGTTTTGGTCTAGTTCTTTGTTCGTTTATAATTTTTCTTTTATATATTTTACATTTATATACAAAACTGCCACCACATGTTTGACTGCCATATTTAATATTTGACTAGATCGTGACCATTGATATATTGGATCCAATGATCCACAATCATTCTTATTTCTTTCACTATCTATCATTCTCATATGATCCCTTCTCTTAATTAATTCACAAGTAAATAAATATAAAACTTCTCTTTAATTTATTTTGCTTGCCTAACAAGAAAGTTTTTCTAGAAAACAGCTAGGTATGTCGGATAATGTCGAACCAATATTTCTACACCCCCAGAATTTTAAAAAGTGTTTACAAGTCATAGTCTTAAATAAGTTAAATATCTCAGATATTTTGTAAAACTTTTTAAAATTTAAAATGTGTAGTCAAGACATTTAAAAGTCTTAAAAAAATCTAATTAAATACACCAGGATTACCCAAGTTCGTGAAAATTATATAATTTTGGTTTGATAAATGTCGTTCTTTAACATAATGACAATATCACTAATTTTGATATCAACTAAATCAAATTTGTGGAAAGTGTATTCCTTTAAAACTACCATATATAGTTCAAGATACCACACTGCTTAATGCTTATTTTGAGATGCCACAACATCAGGCTTGGCAAAAAAAAAAAACAAGAAAATCTCAAGTTTAACCAGATATTAGATATACATCACACGTGCCATTTTCTTCACGATCTTCGACATTTACGCCCCGAGTTAGGCTTCCCCTCACATCTTGTCTCTTTCAAAAATTTTCAATATACAGTTGCCCCTTTAGTTTCAGCCCAAACCCTCACATGGCTCAGTCGATAACATCCATATTTCTGACACCAGTAACATTTTTTTTTTCCCGAGTTTAGTCCTGACTACACAAATATCAAAATTGATTCTCAAAACTGTATGGTAAGTGATCATATGCCAACTTTGTATGTAGGATAACATGCACCTTGTCCCAGTTCCACACTTGAGCAATTTATCATACTATGTTCCCTCTCCACAACAAAATAACAGAAACTTCAATTTTTTCTCGAGAAAACAGATGAGAACTCATTTGCTCACCACAGAATTTACTCGACTGTACTGTACTGCCCAGTCTGTACTGAACCACATATTCTCAGCTCCCAGAAACACCTTTGCGTCAACTACAAAAAAAACCTTCGGCGTTTTTAATCCTCAAACACAAAAAACAACCATAAAAAAACATATTTCACTTCTTCACACCCTATCCTCCGAAAACACACACACCCGAATCAACCTCCTCGAAACTCAACTCCTCACTCGAACAATACCCCAGCCCCAACATCCCATAAACCTCCTCGCATCTCCGATGATTCCTATCCCCCGCAACAAAAGCCGACACTCTCTCCTCCTCCACCTTCACCCACGACCACCCGGGCTCCTTCCACCTCCCATCAGACGCGTACATATTCTCCAGTGTGATGTGGGCCCCACTGCACTTCAGGTCGAGCCTAATCACCTCTTCAGCCGCGACCCGGCCGCGCTCCACGTCACCACACTCCCGACTAGCCCTCAGCACGCTCGACCAGACCACAACATCTTTCTCGAACGGCATTTCTCTCATCATCCTCTCGACCTCCCCGCCCGACAAAACAGGCCGATCATGCACCCGTAGTGCTCTTTACAGGGGTAAATTCGTTATTTTTCTATCATGGAGTCGAAATAGCGGGACCCCAGACCGAGGAGCCTCGCGTGGCTACACGCGCCGAGGACGTCAATAAAAGTCACCGAGTCGGGCCGAAGGCCCGCGTCCGGGATTTTCTCGAATAATTCGATGGCTTCCCGACTCAATCCGTGCTTCGCGTATCCGTTGATCATGGCCGTCCACGAGACTATATCGTCGTTTAGGGTAAGCGAGAATACTTTCGCAGCCTCTAGAATGCAACCGCATTTCGAATACATGTTTATGAGGGAGCTCGGGATCATGGCCGTTTGGTCGAGGCCAACGGATAAAACGTACGCGTGGAACTGTTTGCCTTGATCGAGAATAGCCATGCTGCCGCAAACACTCAGCACGCTTGACACAGCGAACTCAGTGGGCCTCGGGCCTTCTTTCCTCATTTGCGAGAACAGCTCGAAGGCCTCCTCCGCGTGGCCCCCCTGAGAATGGCCTGCGATGATCGTGCTCCAGGAGATTACGTCTCTTGCGGTCATTTGGCGAAAGATTTCGAGGGCAGAATCGGGAAGCCCGCATTTTGAATACATGGTCATGATAGAATTCGATACCGATAGAGATTCTGCGAGACCCACGAGCAGAGCGTGCGCGTGCAGCTGCTGGCCCCACTCGAGATTCGCGACTCCCAAAATAACTGCCGCGTAAGTGTACTCGTTGGGGCTTATCCCGCATGCTCGCATGCGCGAAAAAGAATTAATCCCCTGTTTCTCTTGGCCTGTCTGGATGTATCTTGTTATCATGGACGTCCAAGAGACCACGTCCGGTTTAGTCATGCGCTCGAATAGAAACGAGCCGTATTCGACTTTCCCGCACTTATTGTACATTGTGGAAAGGCTGTTGGCTACATATGTCGTTGTTTCTACACCTCTTTTTAATATGCAGGCGTGAATCTCTTTCCCGTTGTGCAACAGCTCGAGATCAGCACAAGCCTTGAGTGCAATGGCAAACGTGTAGGAATCATACTCGACCCCATTTTTCCACATCTGGTAAAAATATAAAATCCCCCGGGAGTGGAGACCTGCCCGGACGAGGCCTGTGATGACAGCTGTCCAAGATACCACATTTCTTGACGGTATTTCGTTAAAGACTGCAAACCCCTCGAGAATTCTTCCGTTCTTCATGTACATGTCGAGGACCGAACTCCCGACAAAAACCGAGCAGATGAAGTTGGATTTCACGGAGTACCCGTGCAGCCCTTGACCGTAACGCAGATTTACATTCAGGCCGCACGCTTTCAAAGCAAGGCTGAGTATGAATGGGTCCATTACGACATCCGGGTCGACCCACATTTTTTAGAACAAAGAAATTGCTTCGGATGTGTCTGAGGAGCTGATGTAGCCGGCAATCAGGGTGGTCCAGGTGATTTCGTCCCTTTTGGGCAATGTGTCGAACATGTTGCGGGCGGTTTTCAGGTCGCCGGATTTTGTGAGGTGCTTGAGCTGTGAGTTGAGCTCCAGCATGTTGATTAGTGAGGAGTCATGGAGGTTATGAGTCGGGGGGTCTTTGGGGCGGTCGTCGGATTTCAGGGTGCCCGAGAAGTCGGCGTAGGCTAAGCACGAATTTGAGTATAATCTTCTGGTAATTGACTGCCTCAGTGATAACGCCATGTTTGACGATGTCAGTAAATTAGCTCTGACAAGCTGAATTTCTGTGTAAGAATAAGATACCGGGGCCTGCTGCAAATAGCCTAGTAAATTTGTTATCACTATTATATGATACACCCCTGCGTTTGCTTTGCCCCTAGCAAAGAAGATCTTTCTCTGCATAAGGAAAATGATTAGTTGAGAGAAGTCTTATGGGTGTATTTTCGAGATTTTAAATAAGATTTTATGAGAATTGAGAATTTTTAAATTTTCAGGAGGAATTTATAAAATCTTAGTATTTCATATATATATATATATATATTTTAGGAATCCTTGTGAAAAAATGGGCCGAGGGAATAGAGTGCGCAAAATTTTCAGATTTGGGAAGAATATAAAATCTTAAGTTTGAAGATGAGATTTGAAATAAATTTCATATATTGTTTTTTCTTTTGAAATCCCGTGAAAAAAATGGGTCGGAGGAGTAGAGTGCGCAAAGTGTGTTCACTGAAATAAAAGGCGAAAGCAATAGAAAAACATATATGTCTTTAGGGAGCGTTCAATTACTATCAGAGCTCTTTCATTAATAGATCGGTTTGCGCACAACCTACAACTTGGAATTAAACGAATATGACTCACTTCTAATCTAAACAACACTATCCGACTCTATCAACTACTTTCTTGGTCACAACACGTTCACATGAAAGGACACCCCAAATTAGCCAATTGACACTAATGATGCTATACATTGTTCCGCAATTCACAAGAACAAAGGGATAAGACTTGGTGGGTAAAAAATAATAACTTTGTAGCCAATAAAGAATCCCTAAAAATCCCAGAAACTGAAAGAGCAGTTCATCAAAGCTTTGAAACAATTATTTACACCTAAGTAGCTATCCAAGTGTGGAACTTAATGATGGATTCTTGATTTACAAGAACATAAAAAACTGGTGCCAACATAAACACGAGACAAATCATTATAAATGTCATTTGGTCCTATCCTAGAGCATGCATCAAAGTGTTCAGCTCTTGAGAAAGGGATTAGTTTCAGCTTCATCGATGAACCAAACTAGAGTTAAATAGTTCCAAGAAAGTGCAATATAATTCAAGTTCATTGACTTTACATTTTCTTTCTCACTCTCTTGGCTAAATCTTGATTCTAATTACTGCATCTATACACTCTTCCCAAGAAAGTAGTTGATAGAGTCGGATAGTGATGTTTAGATTAGAAGGGAGTCATATTCGTGTAATTCCAAGTTGTAGGTTGTGCGCAAACCAATCTATTAATGAAAGAGCTCTGATAGTAGTTAAACGCACCCTAAAGACATATTTGTTTTTCTATTACTTTCGCCTTTTATTTCGGCGAACACACCTTGCGCACTCTACTCCTCCGACCCATTTTTTTAACAAGATTTCAAAAGAGAAAACCATATATGAAATTTATTTCAAATCTTATCTTCAAACTTAAGATTTTATATTCTTCCCAAATCTGAAAATTTTGCGCACTCTATTCCCTCGGCCCATTTTTTCACAAGGATTCCAATATATATATATATATATATGAAATACTAAGATTATATAAATTCCTCCTGAAAAAAATTCTCCTGAAAAAATACTAAGATTATTTAAAATCTCGAAAATACACCCATAAGACTTCTCTCAACTAATCATTTTCCTTATGCAGAGAAAGATCTTCTTTGCTAGGGGCAAAGCAAACGCAGGGGTGTATCATATAATAGTGATAACAAATTTACTAGGCTATTTGCAGCAGGCCCTGGTATCTTATTCTTACACAGAAATTCAGCTTGTCAAAGCTGATTTACTGACATCGTCAAACATGGCGTTATCACTGAGGCAGTCAATTACCAGAAGATTATACTCAAATTCATGCTTAGCCTACACCGACTTCTCGGGCACCCTGAAATCCGACGACCGCCGCAAAGACCCCCCAACTGATAACCTCCATGACTCCTCACTAATCAACATGCTGGAGCTCAACTCACAGCTCAAGCACCTCACAAAATCCATCGACCTAAAAACCGCCCGCAACATGTTCGACACATTGCCCCAAAGGGACGAAATTACCTGGGCCACCATGATTGCCGGCTACATCAGCTCCTCAGACACATCCGAAGCAATTTCTTTGTTCTTGAAAATGTGGGTCGACTCGGATGTCGTAATGGACCCATTCATACATAGCCTTGCACGGGTATTCCGTGAAATCCAGCTTCATCTGCTCGGTTTTTGTCGGGAGTTCGGTCCTCGACATGTACATGAAGAACGGAAGAATTCTCGAGGGGTGTGCAGTCTTTGACGAAATGCCGTCAAGAAATGTGGTATCTTGGACAACTGTCATCACAGCCCTCGTCCGGGCAGGTCTCCACTCCCGGGGGCTTTTATATTTTTCCCAGATGTGGAAAAACGGGGTCGAGTATGATTGCTACATGTTCGCCATTGCACTCAAGGCTTGTGCTGATCTCGAGCTGTTGCACAACGGGAAAGAGATTCACGCCCGCATATTAAAAAGAGGTGCAGAAACAACGACATATGTAGCCAACAGCCTTTCCACAATGTACAATAAGTGCGGGAAAGTCGAATACGGCTCGTTTCTATTCGAGCGCATGACTAAACCGGACGTGGTCTCTTAGACGTCCATGATAACAACATACATCCAGACAGGCCAAGAGAAACAGAGGATTAATTTTTTTTCGCGCATGCTAGCATGCGGGATAAGCCCCAACGAGTACACTTACGCGGCAGTTATTTCGGGAGTCGCGAATATGGCGAATCTCGAGTGGGGCCAGCAGCTGCACGAGCACGTCCTGCTCGTGGGTCTCGTAGAATCTCTATCCGTATCGCATTCTATCATGACCCTGTATTCAAAATGCGGGCTTCCCGATTCTGCCCTCAAAATCTTTCGCCAAATGACCGCAAGAGACGTAATCTCCTGGAGCACGATCATCGCAGGCCATTCTCAGGGGGGCCACGCAAAGGAGGCCTTCGAGCTGTTCTCGCAAATGAGGAAAGAAGGCCCGAGACCCACTGAGTTCGTTGAGTCAAGCGTGCTAAGTGTTTGCGGCAGCATGTCTATTCTCGATCAAGGCAAACAGCTCCACGCGTTCGTTTTATCCGTCGGCCTCGACCAAACGACCAGGATCCCGAGCTCCCTCATAAACATGTATTTGAAATGCGGTTGCATTCTAGAGGCTGCGAAAGTATTCTCACTTACCATAAACGACGATATAATCTCGTGGACGGCCATGATCAACGGATACGCGGAGCACGGATTGAGTCGGGAAGCCATCGAATTATTCGAGAGAATCCCGGACGCGGGCCTCCGACCCGACTCCGTGACTTTCATCGGCGTCCTCGGCGCGTGCAGCCACGCGGGGCTCCTCGGTCTGGGGTCCTGCTATTTCGACTCCGTGATAGAAAAGTACCGAATTTACCCCTGTAAAGCGCACTACGGGTGCATGATCGACCTGTTTTGTCGGGCGGGGAGGTTAGAGGAGGCCGAGAGGATGATGAGAGAAATATCGTTCGAGAAAGATGTCGTGGTCTGGTCGAGCGTGCTGAGGGCTAGTCGGGAGTGTGGTGACGTGGAGCGCGGGCGGGTCGTGGCCGAAGAGGTGATTTGGCTCGACCCGGAGTGTGGTGAGGCCCACGTCACGCTGGCGAATATGTACGCGTCTGATGGGAGGTGGAAGGAGGCGGCTGAGGTGAGGAGGTTGATGAGGTGGAGGGGTGTGGTGAAGGAGCCCGGGTGGTCGTGGGTGAAGGTGGAGGAGGAGAGAGTGTTGGCTTTTGTTGCGGGGGATAGGAATCATCCGAGATGCGAGGAGGTTTATGGTATGTCGGGGATGGTGTATTGTTCGAGTGAGGAGTTGAGTTTCGAGGAGGTTGATTCGGGTGTGTGTGTTTTCGGAGGATAGGGTGTGAAGAAGTGAAATATGTTTTTTTGATGGTTGTTTTAGTGTTTAAGGATTAAAAACGCCGAAATTTTTTCTGTAGTTGACGCAAAGGTGTTTCTGAGAGCTGAGAATATATGGTTCAGTACAGATTGGGCAGTACAGTACAGTCTAGTAAATTCTGTGGTGAGCAAAAGAGTTCTCATCTGTTTTCTCGAGAAAAAATTGAAGTTCCTGTTATTTTGTTGTGGAGAGGGAACATAGTATGATAAATTGCTCAAGTGTGGAACTGGGACAAGGTGCATGTTATCTTACATACAAAGTTGGCATATGATCACTTACCATACAATTTTGAGAATCAGTTTTGATATTTGTGTAGTCAGGACTAAACTCGGGAAAAAAAAAAAATGGTACTGGCGTCAGAAATATAGATGTTATCGACTGAGCCATGTGAGGGTTTGGGCTGCAACTAAAGGGGCATACGTATATTGAAAATTTTTGAAAGAGACAAGATGTTAGAGGAACCCTAACTCGGGGAGTAAATGTCGAAGATCGTGAAGAAAATGGCACGTGTGATGTATATCTAATATCTAGTTAAACTTGAGATTTTCTTTTTTTTTTTTTTTNTTGCCAACCTGATGTTGTGGCATCTCAAAATAAGCATTATTAAGCAGTGTGGTATCTTGAACTATATATGGTAGTTTCAAAGGAATACACTTTCCACAAATTTGATTTAGTTGATATCAAAATTAGTGATATTGTCATTATGTCAAAAAACGACATTTATCAAACCAAAATTATATAATTTTCATGAACTTGGGTAATCCTGGTGTATTTAATTTGGTTTTTTTAAAACTTTTAAATGTCTTGAATACACATTTTAAAAGGTTTTACAAAATATCTTGAGATATTTAACTTATTTAAGACTATGATTTGTAAACACTATTTAAAATTCTGGGGGTGTAGAAATATTGGTTCGACATCATCCGACAAACCTAACTGTTTTCTAGAAAAAATTTCTTGTTAGACAAGCAAAATAAATTAAAGAGAAGTTTTATATTTATTTACTTGTGAATTAATTAAGAGAATGGATCATATGAGAATGATAGATAGTGAAAGAAATAAGAATGATTGTGGATCATTGGATCCAATATATCAATGGCAGTTTTGTAAATAAATGTAAAAAATATAAAAGAAAAATTATAAACAAACAAAGAACTAGACCAAAACATCTATTAGAGGTTGGATGATAAACGAATTATAATGTGCAATCTAACAGGTGCAATTCGTCCAACACTATGGTGCATGCACAATGTCGGTCTGTATTGTTCATATTGAACCAACCGAGTTTTTGTCCCAAATCGAATTGAAACTACACATAATCAATTGGTTTATTCGGTTCGGTTAACCGATTATATATTAAGAGTATATTTAATATGTTAATAAATTAACCTATTATTTTTTATATTAAATCTAATTTAAAAAAAATTGAGTTCGGTTGGTTTTGCGCTCTATTGTGCAATCTGAATATCTGATTGTGATAAAGCGCAACGCTTTGTATTATAAAGTGCAACGTGATGTTCTATAAAGTGCGTTGTATTAATATATAAAGTGAACTACTCTAGTTTTATTACATTAGGATGCTTGTGTTTTTTATGGACAAATGATGTGATAGATGTTAAAGTATTATGTAGATGTAGATATATATACATATATTTTTTTTATGTTGCGTGGTATTTTGGCGGAGCTATTGACGTTAATTGTGGAATATTGTGATAAAGTGCAACAATTTATTTTATACAGTGTAACATTTCGTTTTATAAAGTGCATCGTGCTGATATATAAAGTGCAGTACTACTTTATATAATAACATAAAAATTATGTATTTTAAAACTATAATTATTAGATTAAATTGTACATTGACTTCATAAATAACTGAAATAATTTATTATTTATTATTATAAAAGTGTATTTATTATTTAAATATTTTTTATACATTTTATATTATTTTTATTGTTACAAAAATACAATATACATATCTGTAGAAAATAAATTATAAAAATAATATTTTTTATATACTTTTCATAAATTACAAATTTAACCCATGGTCTAAATTGAAATACAATATACATCTTGTAATGTAATCAAACCCCTATAAAGTATCAAATTTTCAAAAATTTGCCAAACCAAAATATCAGTATTCCGGCGAGTCCCGCCGCCGCCGTGAGCCGACCGTCCGAGACAACGTACCGCTGCAGAGTGTCACCAGAGAAGACGACCTTATCGGCGTCGGAGTTGAGCGGCCTGTCGGAGAGCAGAGAAGAGCGCGGCGTCAACTAGTCGGGAGAATTTTCGATCATCTGAAATCGACAGCAGACGAAGCCGACAAGTTGGAGCGACGGTGGACGACGCTGGAAGGCGTGAAGGACAGGAAGACGACAGCGTCTCTGTGGCGTCCGGCATCTCTGCGACGTCGGCATCTCTGCGGCTCGCCGTTTTCGTGTCGCGTAGATCCAGCGGACATGGGAAACGTACCTCGGCAACGGCTCGTGACTGCCGGAGATGCAGAAAGCCGTCGCTTGCTCGCCGGCGGTCGACGGCGAGGCCATACATCTGGATATGATCGGCGTAAAACAGCGACGACTGGCCGGTGGGCGACAGCGGCGGAGGAAGTCGGCGGCTGCGGCGGAACTGGTTGTGGTGGTCGGCGGGGTGTGTGTGTGGGGTTGTGTGTATGTGTGTCTGTGAGAGAGAGGGAGAGAGATAATTGAACGATAGGGGAGAGAGAGAGAGACAACTTTTATTAATTGGTGAGAGAGAGACGGCGTGATTGAACCAATTAATTGGGGAGTGGGGCGCATTAGTAGATAGTTGGTGTAATGGTGTGTGAGTAATGTCTATAATACCCTTAATGAATTTAGAAAGGCTGATTTTTGGAGTAAATCTCGAAAATACACCCATAAGACTTCTCTCAAGTAATCATGATTTGATTGTCTAAAATTGATGGATGAACTATTATTGTTTTGTTCCTCTTTTCATGAGCCGCAATACCCCAAATCAATTGTACATTTGGAGTTCATATGGCCCACTGGAACTCTATTTTCAACATTTCTTTGTTATTATTATTTAGGATTTTCTGCAAATTTTCCGCCGGCAGCAGCAGACAGCAATGGACTAAGACCATTAGTTTTTAAATGGCTTTTAATGGAACGGATGAAAAGTAATTATCAGACGAAATGTTGAGTACCAAAACTAATTAAGTGGAAACTTCATGTACCAAAAGTTAAATCGGGGCAAAATTGGGGTACAATACATGAATTTTTCCCTTACAAAACTACTCTAAGGTTTGAGACATCTACAACGAAACACACAGAAATTTCAAAAACACACAAAGATTCCATCTTATATTTTCCTCATTCATAAACAAAAAATTTGAAAAACCACCGTCACATATAAAGAAATAATTACAGCTCCCCCTATAAATATAATAAAGTTAAACTCACAAAAGGGTGTTTTGCAATTTGAAAGACTGGGTTTTGTTGTAATTACATCAAAATTAGAAGGTGGTATTCATAAATATCAGACAACGAATGAACTCTTACCTGCATTTGCCGCCTGACAACATCAAGAGGGTAAGTGAAAGTCTGACCCAGTAAACCAGCGACTGAGCCACACACAAGTTTGACCGTAATGTCCTTTTTGTGATCTTCTGGAACATGCCTTTTCATCTCTTCATAAAAATAGAACTTCAGTCCCATAGCCAGGAAACCCCAAGATTATCCATTTTCGATATTCTTCATATGCCATGTAATGCAATGCCGCATAAGGCACTATACGTGCAACACTAGCTCCATTCCCTCTAAGAATAACCACAACCACACACATTTAATAATATAAAATGATGATTTGTGAAAGTGTCAAATGAGGAAAATGATTGATTTATTTCAAAATATAAATAGATGAAAAGGCCAAGGCTACCTGTAAAAACCAAGCACCCCTTCTGTTTTTGCAATTTTTGAAAAGGATCCCAACAGGCCAAGACTGTGGAACTCAGCTCTTCTGGTCTGGGAAAATATATGAATAATAACAGAAACTTTCAGTTTACGGACTCAGCTCATCCCTTTTTAACGCTCAATGAACTCAGAGCCAATCAGAAAATAACTACTCAGAGCAAAGTATATAATATATATAGCAGAAGTTAATTATAGTCAATCCCCATGGAATGTCTATGGATCGTATTTGACAGAAATCCATTCTTTTAAGCAGCAATAAATAATAACTAGGAAATAATAAATTGTGATTGGAGATTGCTGGCTACATAACTCTATAGAGTTTTGGAGAGAAAACTAATCCAGTTAAGTTAATTGACTAAATTGTAGATTCAACAGGAAAACGATGCAAGATCTTGTAAAAAGGCATTATTTGGGGTAACCTACATTCAGCAGTACATGAAAAGCTGTTAGATCAGGAAAGGAAACAGCAGTGCAGTTAAAAGCAGGGTAAATCCTAGTAAATTTCACTTATAAAACGATGGAATGAGGTAACTATATAGTAATGTTTCTCCAAGTAGCATTCCAAGATTCATATTCTTCACATCAATTATGGCAATATAATGACCTTTTGTTATAAATCATCATGTTTATACATACGCAAATGTAACTTCCGAATTCAGCAACACATGGAATCAAATATGCTAAAAGATTCACCCTAACTCTCTATCTCCACATTGTACGAATTAAAGTAGTAAGAAAACGACAAACTAATTAAAGACAAAACCATTACCTTGAACAAAAAAAAACGATGATCAGCCTGCTTAACTAGATCAATAATACTGAACCACAAGCTAATGCAATACTCAAAACCCGTAACAACCAAGACAGGAAAAATGGATGATCATCCCAAAATCAGATAACAAACAAAACAAAAAATGATTACCTGGAAAAGTATCTTGATGCGCTCAAGAGGGGCAACAGCAGTCTTGGCAAATCCACCAGCCACTCCACCCGCGATTAGCTCTTTTACAAAAATAGGCATACCCTCAATTAACCCATCCACCATTAAAACCCCTTTATCTTTTTCCTCTACTCTCTCTCCCATTGAGCCACTTGAAAAGGTAAAGACCCTCCTTTTACTTAATTCCTTTTTCACGGTTCAGAGAGTGATGGGAAAACGCACACATAGGAGAGAAGGAGAGAGAGAGGGGGGGGAGAGAGAGAGTTCCCTCTCTCTTTAATTATGTTTTTTTAGGAAACAAGAGGGAGGCAAAGGGAATAGAAGGAATCAGAACCTGTTTGACGAGTAAAAGAACTGTATATTTATACGAGGGACCATTGGTTACAAAAAATTTTAAAATCAATCGTTTTTAGTTCAAAGTCGTACGTTGAAGAAATATTAATATTAATTGTCGTCGCCTTCCGTCACCCGCTGCCATTGTCTCATGTGGTGAATTTTAACAAATCATATACCGTTTGAAGTTCTCGACTCGACATATCCGGTGATATCTTTTATCTAAGCATATGATACCTCGAAATTCGTTAAAATGGTTGTTAAAGTTTTCAAAAAAATTTGGCTAAAATACGCTTTAAATTTTGACCGAGTATTATTGAAGATCCCATAATTAAGAATTTAAGAATAATACATGTGTGGAAACCCAATCTTTTGAGGAATTTAATGATATATTCTGATCATCAATGGCGTCTCTAAATCGTCGGAGATAAGATGAAAAGTATCTAACTTTTAAGTGAGTTGCAGTGGTTGGAAAATTTGAAAACTTTGACGGCTTATCTCATGCAATCGAGAGACTCGGTTGATGATTGGGCTACACCTTGGATTCCGCAAGAAATTGTGTTTTCATACGTATACTTTTCATAAATATCCAACGGTCGGATCTTTAGCAGCACTTGGCCAAATTTTAAGGTGTATTTTGTCCAAAAATTTTTAGAACTTTTAATGACAATTTTGACGAACTTCCAGATATCGTATGATGAAATAAAAATATAGTTGGATAGGTCGAGTCGAGAGCTTAAAAATGACATATGATTTGTTGAAATCCACCACTAAAGACGGCAGTGGTAGGCGGCGGCGACCGTTAATTTTAACAGATTTTTTCAACGTTTAGATAAGCACTGTGTATACAAAAAAAAAGTGATGGAAATATGGTGGTGTTTCTTGTGTTGTACATAGACGACATCTTTCTCATTGAAAACAATGTAAAGGTGTTGTCAGATGTAAAGGTATGGTTGTCTGAACAGTTTAATATGAGGGATTTGGGAGAAGCAGAACACATTCTCGGCATCAACGTGAGTCAACACCGCGATAAGAGAATATTGTGTTTATCCTAATCTTCGTACATAGACATTGTCCTGGCTCGTTTTAGCATACAAGATTCTAAGAGAGTGTTACTACCCTTTCGGCATGTTCTACTATCCAAGGAGATATCTCCCAAGACGCCTCAAGAGATAGAGGACATGAGAAAGGTTCCTTATGTTTCGAAAATAGGAAGTCTCATGTATGTCATGTTGTGTAGGTCAGATATTTGCTATGCGGTAGACATGGTAAGTAGGTATCAAAGTAACTCAGGACAGGGTCATTGGACTGCAGTAAAGCATATACTAAGGTACCTGAAAAGGACCAAGGACTAGATGTTGGTCTACCGAATGGACCAATTGAGCCTTGTGGGTTACACTGATTCCAACTTTCAGTCAGACCGAGACGAAAATAAATCTATCTCATGGTTTGTGCTTACTCTGGGAGGTGGGGCCATAGTATGGTGGAGTATCAAGCAGAAATGCGTGACAGGCTCCACCAAAGAAGTCGAGTGCATCGCAGCTTCTGATGCAGCGAAGGAAGCTGTATGGGTTAGGAACTTCCATTGGACTTAGATGTGATACCGAGTTTGCCACGAGGTATTACAGTTTACTGTGATAACAGTGGTGCAGTAGCAAACTTGAGGGAGCCACGAGCCTATAAGGCGAGTAAACACATAGAGCGTAAGTACCACCTGATACAAGAAATTATTGCCAAGATAGCATCGGAAGACAACCTAGTTGATCATTTTACGAAGAGTCTGCCAACGATTAGCTCTTTTACAAAAATAGGCATACCCTCAATTAACCCATCCACCATTAAAACCCTTTTATCTTTTTCCTCGACTCTCTCTCCCATTGAGCCACTTGAAAAGGTAAAGACCCTCCTTTTACTTAATTCCTTTTTCACGGTTCAGAGAGTGATGGGAAAACGCACACATATAGGAGAGAGGGAGAGAGAGAGCTCCCTCTCTCTCTCTTTAATTATGGTTTTTTTAGGAAACAAGAGGGAGGCAAAGGGAAGAGAAGGAATCGATTTGACGGAGTAAAAGAACTGTATATTTATACGAGGGACCATTGGTTACAAAAAATTTTAAAATTAATTGTTTTTAGTTCAAAGTCAAACGTTGAAGAATTTTTTGTTTTTTTTTTTTAAGAAATATTAATATTAACTGTGTCGCCTTCCGTCACCCGCTGCCATTGTCTCATGTGGTGCGTTTGAAGTTCTCGACTAGACATATCTAATGATATCTTTTATCTAAGCATATGAATTATGATACCTCGAAATCTATCTACACTTATATAAAAAGAATTACTATTTATTAAATATAGCAAACAAAATAAATTTCAAAATTTCTAAATAAGAAAGGGATAGAAGTTTAAATAAAATATGGTTGCTTTAACGAATTTATAGGGAAAACAGAAAAAAAATAAAAAAATCTTTAATTCAAATTCAATTGTTAACAATTTCCTAATAATTTTCATGCAAATCTTTAATTCAAAT